AGCCTTTGGTATGGTCGCAGTATCCTTTCAATTTATAAAAGTGGGTTGACTTCGTTGTCGCAACTTGGTCTTGTTGTCAGGGCGACAGCATGACAACTACTATGGCAGACGACTTCGGACTAGATGCGTTCTACCAAGTTGCCCTGACAACAAGACTAATGGGGAAATTTGGCTCATATTCCAGTTTTCTTATCTTGCCTTAAGCTCAAGATTGATGCAAGAATGCAACCGGAAAGACAAATAAAGCCTAACAACGTTTCCCGCAAGGAGGTGGCTAAAAATGGTGATTTGAGGGCTGTGTTAACGTGGCTGTAGCAGCAAAACAAAACGACCGAAGATGACAAGGAGCCCAACGACGTGTTTTGGTGAGATCGGCCGACGCAAATGGCTTCAGCACAGATTTTTACTCTAAATGAAAGACAAGTCAAAATTGCTCTAGCTCAAATGAATACATAATCTGCATCTTGTATCCACCAAATCCAATAAGTTGCAAGAGCTAAAACTTTCCCAAAAGTCTTCTTTCTCACCTGATTCTTTCTCCACTCCATCAGTGAATCTCTTAGAACAGACTCCAATTCGAATTTGATACTCTGCACCTCTCTATCGTCAAGCACGACGTAGTTCAGGCTGCTAGGCTGGGCGGTGAAATTTTGTCCCATGTTTGTAAGTGGCCCGCGGTCGGCAGTCTTAGAGAGCGGAAATAGGGGCAACCAATGCCTAGTTTGGGTCAGATCCCAGCTGATCTCCCAAGGTTCTGATTTTGACTGGATGTTGGCCCAGATCTGGTACAAAGTATGACATGAAAATATTAGCTGATGCAAAATTGTAAACATTCTATAAAGTCGATTGTGATGTCTGAACCCATCTTACAATGAGCATGCTTTCATGGTAAAATGTATAACATGATAGAATTCAGCTTGAGCCCAATTGAAGGGCCTAAATCTTTTGCATACTGCACAACTTTGACTGTTCCTTTTAGTCTCATTAGAGGTTCCTTTGGGTTAATTGAAAGGAAATTGGTCTGAGGGTTGTGACATCGGCGTAGATTGAGGCTCGAAAAAAGGTCATTTGCTTATGATCCCCAAGATCCTATTGATCTCTGCTTATCTCAGATTATTGATATGCCAGAGCCTATCCAAATTTAGGGGTCCTGACTATCTTGGCATAACCTCAATGCTATCAACTAATCGGCCAGCAAAACGATGGTAGATCGGGATTACTCGCTCATCAAGACGTTGATTCTTACGCCACTCTGCAGCTGAAAGTGAGATTTCTATTTTGAAAAAGTGTTAACAACTTTGAGAAGGGCTAGCATAAGTTGTATGGAAAATACTTTTTGTACTATGTACCTTAATGGCCTTTATAATAATTTTAGGTTGTTAGTAGTACAAGTCTTGTTTAATGCAATCAAATTAGCCACAAAGTCATTTGAGTGTGTTTGAATTAGGAATCTCTTGCCACTTTCGGCTAAATTGTTATCATTTTTAATGGTTTGCATTATAACTCAAGCTTCTTTGAAGTAACAAATTGGCTAGACACAATCTCCGACTCAATGGATATAGAAGTAATACAGCCCAATCAGTCAAATGGAAGTCTCCCTGATTAAACTACTTAGCCTCCTAATTTTTATCGTATTCACAGATTTTTTCAAAATAAATGCAAATAAAAATGCATGCTTAAAAGCAAGAAAATTATAATAACGAAAGTGCCTCAAGGAGTCGATGATTCTGAAAGAAAATGACAGCAACTGTGAAACAGCTAGAAGTTTAGTTTATTTCAATTGCCATTACAAAGAAGCACAAAGTGGAAGCATGATGCAAATAGGAAATGATCACGAGCCAGACTGACTGGTACAGAAGAGAAGAGAGTCCATTTGAGCCCATTCGTTGAAGGCTGCATGAGGAGGAAAGTGACAGAGAAATATATTCGGATTGAGTAATGAATCGAAACTACCAGAAACTCTTCGAATAAAAGCTATGTTTTCATTAGGTCGCATAAGCTTACAAAGAACTGATAGTTTGTATTTTACCACAATGAGATGAGTAGGCCTCATGATGCCATTTAATTTCACATTCCCATATTTCTCGCTGGACTGGACAATAGTTTCCGCCTCCCATGGGCCTGGTCAGCCCCTACAGTGGGAATCGAACCCATGCAGTCCAGCCACTTGGCCAGAGAGCATAAGAGAAATTCAAGGCTAGCCAAGCCTCTTTCATACCATATTTTGTAATAGAAGTTTCAATGAGGCAAACTTGCATTTTTTATTACACTCGACGACATTACTTTTATTCAGCTATCAGTAGACCATTGAATAGGATATATTGGTAGTTTTGTAAACTACTCATTCGGATTATAAGTAATATAGTTGGATGTAAACACAAACAAGTGTTTCAACGGCAGTACTGTTATAGAAGTGTTCTATCTTTGTTTTCACAACTTGTTCGTGTTGTCAGGTAGACCAAGTTGGACACTATTTGGCCGCAGTCTCCTGCTGTAGTAATTATGATAGTTCCCAGCATTGGACCGTGGACTTTAGCAGAATTGTAGTCAGCATCTTCAGTAAGTCTGGCCATTCTCAGCACCAAGCAACAACTCGTCAATGTGAATGGAAAAACTCACTGAGGATACAGATTATGACCTCATTGAAGCTTCTGATAATGTAATAAGTTCATGGTCTATCGTTTTGAATTATATTGGATACTCTAGTAGAGGACCATTGACAAGGTGCGTCCAACTTGGTCGCCTTGACAACACGACCAAATTGTGAAAACGAGTTCAGATCACTTCTATATCTCGAAAGTAGACTGCGGCCAAAATAGAGGCTAAAACATCTTGGTCTTCATATATACACTTAATCCTACTATAAATGTGATTTAAGTGAGTCCTGATTCACCTTGAATGTCCTATTTTTCCTGTGAAATTCTGTCTTTTGTGGTTGTGTAGTGGAGAGATAAAGTCGCCACGATATTTATGGTCCGGTGTCGAATCCAGATGGAGGTTTTGATGAGACCAGACTGGCCTGGATGGGGTATCTTTTTGGGTGAAATTCAATGGAAACATGGGATCTATTCAAGTGATTGTGGAAAAATCCAACTGCCAGTTCTTCGTCACTTTGTGTAACCTGGACTGAAGACAGTAAACTAGACAACTTATTTGTCATAGCTCAGTGTACCTTGGTAGATTGCAGCCCAGTATGTCGAGCTCAAGGTTCAGTGCTATCTATTCTCGCCTCCAACTATGATCACTGGGACCAAGTGATGTGGATGCTAATGCGACCAAGTCATGGCTCACCGCCAGTGGATGGCCAGATCCTACGGCAAAACCCAAAACACTAAATAGAGAAGAGGACATGGGTACTCCTGGACCGCCGGGAATTTGGAAACAGAGCAAGGCGGTGAGGTGATGCAGAAAAACTGGGAGTAACAGATTGGAAAGTGTAAATGATGCTAAAAACCTCCTCCCTAATTGAGATGAAAGTTGTCAATTTATTCCGGAAAGAATACCAACTTGTCTGCATAGGCTGGGAAGAGCGCTATGCTAAAGACGACAAGCATGAGTAGGAAAAGTCTCATGAAATACAGACTAACTGACATTTTCTTGACTTATTAAAGTCCAGACAGAGCGCAGCGGAGCATTCAGATCCTTCACGTAGAACCATTCTCCACGACTCAAGTTCCACACGCGAATGTTGCTTCCGGGCAGGTTGAACCGGCTGATGGGAGTGCCCAAATTCTCGGTCAGTACATAGGCCGTGCGACCTGAGAGGGAAACCACAAACAAACGAAGGTTGCGGAGATAAAATGTCGACTATTATCAAGTAACAACGAGTTTAACGCATTAATATTAGTAGTAGTCAACGCTGGCCTGATATGAAATATTATGTTTAAAATGATTTAATGAAAAGAAATGAAACTCACTTAAAATAAATAATTAGCTCTTGCTAAAGTGAGAAGAGGTGATCAAATTGTATATGAGATGTGATCACTATATCGCGCTAAAATACTGAAAGTCTGGCAATTGAATTTTTCCACAACGATATGAGTAGACCTTACGTTTCCTTGAACTTCACATAATCTTGCTTCCCAAAAGGTATTCTAATCCCGGCTGAAGTTGAATGCATTTTTGAGCTAACTTAGGCCTGATTAGCACACCCAGTGGGACCAGAAGCATAATGTGAAATTCAGTGGAAACGTAAGGACGGATGGGAAAATTCAACAACCAATCCTATTAAAGTAAATGTGATGAATATATTTCATACATATGATCCACTGTTAGTTATGAAAACCAATTAATAAATGAAAAATACGTAATGTCGTTGAAAGACATCACATATATACCGTTAATTCATCGACAATCCCGCCATAGAATGCGATATGAGAAAATGCCCTGCCTTCTTTGAAATTCACATCTTTTGTGTGACCCAAAAGTACTCGTAGCAATGTGATGTAATGGTTAACGTGGCTAGATTATATGCTGCACTCTCATGGTTTGAGTCTTGCTGAGGGTGCTGAGAAGACCTAGGCGAGGTCAAAACTGTTTCCGATTCTGGATGAGAATATCTTTTGACAAACATGATTGCATTCTGTACTACCAAAATCTGGGTTCGAGTCTCGTTGGAATGCTGATGGGACCAGCTAAGGCGATGTCAAAACTTCCGTCCACTTCAGCTGGGATCATAATGCCTTTTGGGCAGTAAGGTCATGTGAAATTAAATGAAAAAATGGGGTCTATTCATACGATTATTGGCAATTTCAACTACCAGTCCTTCATCACCTTCGATGGAATAGGGCGAAAGCAGCTCTTATATCAATTATACTTTTATTCTCAAAAATTATTTATGAGACGAAAATTTATCGCTACCAATCAAAATTGATGGATCATTAAATCTCATCGGCGTTTGTCTACATTCTGTATAATTACAATAAACCGATGTATTTCTGTGAAGTTTTTGGAGATTGGGCTAGTGCATTTCATCCATCAATATTTAAGAATGTGTGTGTGTATATTTAAATTATACTATGCACTGCCCAGGTTGGCTTACCGTAGGAGATACTAATGAAATCCAGCCTATTCAGAATGAGAATACCTTTCGGTAGGTAAGGCTATGTTTAATTAAATGAAGCCCAATTATCGGGAGGTGGAGAAATTCAACTATCATTTCTTCATCAGCTTATGCCACTTTCGGAGAGAGTTTCTCTGTTTTCTCCCTTATAAGATGTTCGCCATCTAAAAATGCATTTTAAATTAATCTAATGTTATTTTCAATAAGGTCAAGAGGATAATTATAATGGAATAATTTTTGTTTAACCTGGCCTAAATCACTATCCCCAGTGGTCTGTATCTGTGTTTCCTGTACTCTGAATCGCCGCTGATATTAAAATAGCACATTTTAATTTGTGACCATGAATGAAGAAGAACTTAATATTAAAGCCAATATATGCTCGATTTCTAAATACACCTCTGCCCAACTCACCCCAAGAACTGATAACAAAAACAATCATTCTGATTGCGAAGTTGATCTTTTTTCCCCACTGGTTAGTTAGTTATCCTAACCATGCTGCCAAATTGCCATAAGATTAACAGTTTTGCTATCAAACGAAGCGTTCTTACATTTTTTGACTACAAAACCAAAATGATGGGCAAACGAGATAACCTTGCAAATCCTTGGACCTCTCAATAAATCTATCTTTGAAAGTAAAATCTGTGCTATGCATAGACAGATTAATTAGTCTTAAAAACTACTTTTTACATGAGTTTTTCCTCGAATAATATTAGGGCATTATTACAGACTGAGCGCTAGAGCTTGAAAAGTTCACTGGACTTGAATATTGGT